GTCAGGCCACTAGACGGAAGGAAGAGATCCCATAATCACCCTGTGATGACGTCCATATTCACCAAAAAACTTAGTATCTAGTTGTGAAGAGCTAGTCAGCTACATGACAAGAATATAATGTTCTCGTATGAAAAACATAAATAAGCAAACAAAACAGATGCAAGTAAATACAAAGAAAGATGTATGTAGTGTATGAGCATACAAAATAAACTCACATGAATCCACAAAAGAAGAAACTCACAAGATCAATAAAGCGTGAAGCAATGTTTCATATCCTTGGTATCACAGACATGCAAATTCAAAACAACACTGATACATGATTGTAAAAAATCTTGCTGGCCAGCCAAATTTAAACATAGTGATAGCTTTTTAAGTTGTGAGTGTACCAGGAGCAGTCATTTTCTCATCTAGTTTGGGTTGCAGTGCAAATTGACACAAAGTTCCTGGAGGATAGCCTGTGAATATGGATCAGAAGTTTGAAAACATATTAATTTTGATCCATCAATTTCACATTTAGACTTTTTGTTCTTCAGACATAATTGAGTATTACCAAAGGTTTAGGAAAAACTAGAAACAATCTTGATGTTTAACAGTAGGGGATTGGTTAAATAAACTACAATATACATGAATGATGTGATGACAAAGTATTCTATAATCACTGAAAATTATGTTATGGAACTAAAATTACTGACATGAAAGGGACAAGATCAGGGTACAAAGAATTTGTACCGTATATTCCTGTATAAACATACACACACACACAGCCACATGCACCATCCTGGGTGGATCTAAGTTTTGTTGGGTTGAAGCATATCCAGTTTTGAGTACTTTCCAGAAAAGTGTGTACATTTCAACGTATAATTTAGGTTTAAAAGGGAATGTGTATTTAGAACAAGAAAATAGATCAGCATATTACAAATTTTAAAAACCTAAAAAAGAAAAAAGTTGACTGTGTTATGAATATCATGAAAATGTGTAAAGTCTAATTTAAATGATTTCTCATAACTCTATCCTACAGCTGAGAAGCCCCGAACCTTAAGCTTTGTTAGCATAGAAAAAGTGAAAAAGTCATGACAGTGATATGGAAAAATCAACACCACTGTCTCCAAATCCACCCATTTTCCTGCAAATGACAGAATTTCATTCTTTCCCCCAAATTAGTGTGATCATTATGTACTTCAAACACATACTAATAAAAATAAAAATTAAAAAAAATTCATTTTTCCTTATGGCTGAATAACAGTGGTGCATGTGTGAATCTGCCAAAGTGAAACCTGTTACTTTATACAACCAACTAAAATAAAAGAGTGAAAAAAATGAATATGAACTACCTAGGCAATTTTTTTTTAAATGAGGTTTTAAATCAATGAGTCACAACAGCCGATGGACTATTCTTCTGCTTTGTTATGAAGCAAGTCATAGCTGCAATGCAGACATACAGCCCAGCTACCTGGTAGAAATGAGCTGGTTGGTGCTCTTGCTGTGAACATTCCTGCTTCATCAAGCTTCTGGTCAAGGCTGGATGGCAGACAGACTGTACAGCACTGTACAGTAGGCAGACAGCACTGTACCTTTTGCTGAGAGTTTTCTTTATCAATAGAGATTTTGGCATTGAGTGGAATAAAAGAGCCTGAGAAGAACCTTGTTTGGATGCGAGGTCCCTCCACAATTTTTACCAGGGAGCTTTCTGACTTTGGGAGGCTCAGTTTCCTTATCCATTAAATAGGTACAGGTCTAGGATCTGCCTAAAGGTTGATGGGAGAACTGAAACCATGTCATGGTTCTTTTCCTAATTTGGTCTTGTGGTCTTTCTTAGAAATATGACCATAAACTTGAGTCCATCCCTGAGGAGGGCTTCAGGCAATTTGGTGGTGGATGTTTGAAGTGTATTTTTTACAGCAAGCTTCTTTATCCAGGTGGATATGGATCTGACCTGTGATCAGCTACCCTCTCACAGGCAACTTGCTCATGCTAGCACATGCCCATGTAGCTGTTTTCTGGTCTGTATCCAGTTTACTCTCACCAAGACAGCTGCTTTCTGAGAGAGCCCTGACCATGAAGTCAAGTAGGGTCAGGTGTGTCAGCCACGTGAGACACAGAGGAGGTCAACCAGGGAGAAAAGTCCTGAACCAAAGGAAAAAGTTAGGAGAGTTCTATTGGAAACAAGGAGAGAAGAATAGCTCCTGGATTTTCAGGTTGGGCGGCAAAGGGGTGGCCACTGAGGCCTTTGTCAGAGGTAATTCATACAGCAAAGTTGCAACATGGGTTCAAAGTGGGTCAAATTACAATAACCTATAGCTGCTTAGTTAATATTGATCCAATAGGAAAACAAGTCACAAAGCAAGGGTACATGGAAAGAATGAAAGTATTTTTGGGAAGGGATGGGTCAGATGCTCTGGTCACCCACTTGGGCAACTGATGCCTATCTGGACTTACTGGACCAGGTGGGGCTAATTACAAGAATTTCAAGTCATTGTTTATCCCTTAGGGAGGCATGCAGACCTGGACATGACATCTTCATCTTGAGGTCTGACCTTCTTCAGATGCGCCTCCAGCCACAGTTCTGTTGTCTTCATTTTTTGTGGTGACTTTATTGAGGGCCCAGTCCCTCTCTGACTGTATATTAATTTCTAACTTAGTTACTTATAATAAAAGGATAAAAGCAAAAATACATAAGCATGAGTTATGCAAAATTAAGCTAGATCTAGATTTTTCTGTTGTTGGGAGAATACGATACAGGACAAGGTGGTAGCCAATGTAAGCATGGAGTATGACATATAGTAGCAGAAATTGAGCTGGCAGCATCTCACAGAGATGCTCTGGGCTGTCCTCTTCCGGGCAGAGGAAGGGAATGTGACATCAAGGTCTGACTCAGGATCATGCCTCAGGAGTCCTTCCCTTTTGGAGAGAAGGCATAAAGGACTTTGGGAACATTCTGCAGCCAGGCAGTAGCCAAAGTTTCCCCACTCACATCCCACTGACCAGAATGCATCCTGGGTCCAACCCAGATACACTGGGGATTAGGATGCTGCTCTTCTGTGTGCCCACAAGGAAGAGAGAAGGTCTGGTGAGCATGCGAAGAGGTCCCTGAGGCACTTGAAAATGCTTTCAACCATCTCTTGAATGTTCCCACATGCCACACACACACACACACACGATTTTACATAGGTTGCTGTGCTTGGTGAACTCAATGTCCCAGTGGAGAAGCAGTACTAATAATGTAAGGAACACTGAAAAATGGAACTTGCAAAGTTAGATTTTTTTCTTTTAGAGATAAACAATTTTTCCAAACCCCACTGCCAGCTGCACATAACCAATGCTTCCTCCCCTTGGCATAAAAGAAGTGGCAGGCTATGAAGATGTGAACCCCTCAGGAGGTTGGAGGCCAGGTTACTTCCCACAAATACGGAGGGATGAACCAAAGATGGCTGAGAGTCACAAAGCAGGTGTGGAGATCTGCATCCTCTCCCTGTACTTCCCCTCCCCTCTATTCCTTACTATAAAAGACCCTTGCCCATTTGTTCAGGGAGAGATGGTGATTTGAGGCAAATGGGCCCCTTGGTCTTCTCAGAGTTGGCTTTGAATAAATCCTTTTTCCTTTTTTACTCAAATATTCGGCCTCCTTTGATCACTGATTTGATCAGTGGCGAGCAGATGAACCTGAACATATTATCCTAGATGGCCAGTAATTTGCCATTCTTCAGATTTTGAAATGGAAGCTTAGAGAGTGTCAGTAACTTTCTCTTGGTGAGAATACTGGTGTTTGGCAGAGCCTGGTTTCAAATCCAAGTGATCCTAACTCAGGGTTTCTCAACTTTGGCTCTCTTGGCATTTGGGGCCAGATAGTTCTTTGTTGTGGGGCCTGAAGAACGAATTGCAGGGAGTTTAGTAACACCCTTGGCATCTGTCTATGATATATGAGTACCGCCCCTGCCTTTCACAGGAGATGCTTCCAGACATTGCCAGATGGCTCCTGGGTCATAAAATCTCCTCACTACTAACCACCTAATTTCTAACCACTACTCTGTGACCAGAGTGAGGAAGCAGGGGACTCAGAAGACATTGTATTGCTTTACCACTGGCGTGGGACTGGGGATTGTGAATGGAGACTGAACTCTGACTTGCCTGGAAAGCAAGTAGTCTCATTTCCTGCTTCACACACACACTCACACACACACACACAAACAGATACACACACAGCGACACACACAGCAACACACAAAGATACACACACAGACACAAAAGGACGAAGCCTGTTTATTCATCTGTCATTCAGTGGACACTTGCTCAGCATGCAAAAAACAGAACCCAGATCCAGTCTTTGGAGACAAAACAGCACAAGACAAAAATGTACCAATAAACTTAATGAAAAATAAATAAATAAAACCATGAATAATAAAAATTCTTGTCCTCCCTGAGGCCATATTCTATAGGCAGTGAAGAGACAAGTGATATATATAGTATCTCAGGCAATAATAATGGCTGTAGAGATGAAGTAAGCAGTGGGTGAAGGGATGTCCTAACCGAGAAGGTGACATCTGAACTGAGAACTGCACGAGAGGAAGAAAGGAGCCCAATTCAGGTCTAGGGGGAAACGATAACTAAGAACAACAATTTCAAAGGTCCTGGCATGGCCTTCAGTACCTGAAGAACATGAAGTGCAGTCCTAGTGAAATTAGAGCATGGGTTATGAGGTCGAGGGCAGGTGAGGAGAGTCATGTATGTGACATCCATGGTGACTTGCTGGCTTACCCAAGGTAAGATCTAGGAGCAGGGCCAGGATTTAAACTGGACTTCTGGAGCTTTCATTTCCAATTGGACCAAGCTATATGAGCGTCTTTGTCCTAGGTACAGATCCTGATATAAAGCCACACCCTCACCTGGTCTGTGACTCACAGGTCTGGGCCAATGTTGCAGATGCCTCAGAGGTGGGGAGAGAAGGTGGTGATATATAAGGAGGAGGTCTGCTGGCCTCAGAACACAGTTCTAAATGGCCAGAGCTTAGCACGGCTTCAACTCAGCATCCTTTGGGGTGAAGACAGCATGATGACTGTGGCTCTGACCCTCCTCACAGCAGCCGGTGTGTTCTCACTGGGAGTTGGGCTGTGGGTTATCTGCAGCCAACTTGCAACTGTGGATATCCCTGCAGGGATTGACCAACCCTTTAAACTGAGGATCTTTAGCTACATTTTCCAACTGCTGATAACATGGGTGAGTTTGTGTTTTATTTGCCTCCTACACCTTTTATGTGCCTCCTCCACATACCAGAAGCTTCTACGTAAACTGACACTGATGTCACCTAGACTTTGGTGAGGCTAATAGCACATCTCAACCCTGCAGAATCCCTATTGGGTGGTTCTTGGCCACTGCCCATGTTTCTGAAGCTGGACTTGGCCAGTAGCCACAAAACTCAAAGAATGATTCATTTTCTCAGTGTGTTAGCTTCTCATCACTATTAGAAAATATCAGAGACAATCAACTTAAAGGGAGAAAAGTTTATTTTTGCTCATGGTTTTGGTGATTTCAGTTCATATTCTGCTGGCCTACTTGCTTTCAGCTTGTGGTGAGGCAGCTCACATGGTGGGAGCATGTGGCCAAGCATAGCTGGTCATCTTAAGGCCAAGGAACAAAAGCAGAAGAGGGAGGAACTAAGGACCCATAACCCCCTTCAAGGCCATGCCCCCGATTACCCAAGGACTTCTCACTAGGTCCCACATCCCAAAGCATCTACTACCTCCAAATTCCACTACCTGAGGACTAAGTCTTTATGGCATGGACCTTTGAGAGACATCTAACATCCAAATTATAGCGTTCTATAACTACTGTGAACAGAAAAAAGGCTCACATCTCTTCCTTCCCTGACTTGTTCTCACTTTCTTTATAATTCTTACCACTCTGTGAATCTATAAAGAGAGGAATGAATTTTTCTGAATCTTTGCACCCAGTGATTACTGACCTGCTAGCTAGAGCCAACAAACAACAAAATAAAGAGATAGGTAGCAAAGTAGAACATTAGCACAAAGATGAATAAGATATGACTTTTAAGAAAAATTTATGAGCTGAGTATAGTGGCCCATGCCTATTATTCAGCAATTTTGAAGAGATGGGGGATCACAAGTTCAAGCTCATCATGGGCAACACAGAGAGACCCTAACTCAAAATAAAATATAAAGAGGCTTGAGGATGTAGCTTAGTGCAAAAGTCCTAGGCTCAATATGTTGTGTTTGAGAGTTGAGAAACTGTTCACGTAATATAATCTCATCTTATTTCCTGTTGCCAGTATGTGTAATTCATTAAAATACTTGCAAATAGGTCATGGTGACAATGGTATGGATGTTGTTTATATGGGTTTACAGTATTTTTCCAGAGGGTTGAAAAAATGAGTATTGAACATATTTGTGTTAAGTTTTTTACATGATAAAAGAGAGATCTTGGACAGGGAAGAACTCTGGACAGTGTTTCTTACCTCCAGCGTCTACTTTTCCAAAACACTATGACGGGGTCCTGTGGGTTTTCTGGCCTGGCCTTGATTTTTATACTCATGCAACTTCCTAATTACAATGACTTAGTTTTCTCATCTACAAAATAAGGGAAAATAGTATCTCCTACTCCATGGCATTTTGCAGATATTCCATGAGGTAAGCTATCCATCTGAAGCGTATGTTACAATATCTGGCAAGGAGTGAGCCCTTCATAAATAATGTCACTGTTGATTTTTCTGCAAAGATGGACTATACAACTGTTATATGCCATGGTTCTGACTCAGTTTCAATAATGGGAGAGAGACAAAATCACAGGAAGTCGCTGTCTTCAAAGAACTTAGAGTCTCATGGCAGTAGGAGTGGAGGACTGGCTGTGAACAAGGAAACAAGCCAAAAATAACCAGCTTTGTACAAAGGCCAATAGTAGCAGAAAAAACAACAGTGCAGGAGGAAGAGCAGGGCTTATTCACTTGGAGTTCTTCAACCCCTTGGGGACAGAATGTAAGAGGCCTGTGAATTTGGATGGGACCCAAATGATCCCATGTTCACGATTAACTTCTCTTGGAAATGCAGCATTCTGTCTCATAGGAAGGAAGACAACCAGCTATGGTCAGAGCAGGACTGCAACTGTTCACCAAAAAGAATCACAGATATTGGTCAAAAGGGGCCTGGCAGAGAAAATGGATAGGAAACACTGGAAATGCCTACTCCCTACTCTGTTTGTCTATTTTTTATTTTGCAACCGTCTAGTCATATCCCAAAGGAGACCGAGTAATAAATCAGGAGTACTGGAGATTAAGCCTAGAGCATTCACATTGAGCCACGTGCTCTGCTTTTCTTTTTCTTTTTTCTTTTGAGACATGGTCTTGCTAAGTCACTAAATTGCCCAGGCTGGGCTCAACTTTTGATACTCATACCTCAGTCTCCCAGAGTGCTGGAGTTATAGGCATGTGACACCATGCCCAGCTTCTGTTTGCTTAAGAAAGTCATGAATACCATATTATTTTATCCAAAAATATTTCAATAGGTATGACCAAAAGATAAGAACTCTCCCTTCCCCTTAAAATGAAAAAGTCACCACAGTAGTTAGCAACAAACACAGGAGGCCCAGGAAGTACCCCTAGAAAGACATGACATGTCCAGGCTGAGGTGAAGCAAGAGCCCTATAGTGGCAGGAACATTCCAGGTCAAGGGACCAGCAAAGGTGACCAGCAGCCTGGTTTGCAGTGTCTGGGGAGAACAGGTCAGGAGGGGCTGGCTGGTACTGGGACCACATAAGCATGGATTTTCCTGGAGGTGTGATAGGAACTCTGAGGGTGCCGGGGTGTCCCATGGCCCAACCTGACTGCTGTTTCCCAAGATCCTCCTGGCTACCTGGAGAGAGCAGGTGTGGCTGCCAGATTGCAGGCAGGAAGTGAAGTACACCTTTTTAATCCCTTCTTGACCCATTTTCTCTTCTCTCTCTAACAGGGGATGATTTTTGAGAAATTGGGAATCTGTCATGCAACAGAGTTTGTCAGTTTCATGCATGATCTGCCCCCATTAAAGAAGCATCCAGGTGTTGTGGTCACAGATCTCCACTTTGGGACAATCCCTGTAAAGCTGTACAAGCCTGAGGTACCTTCAAGCAGTCCCAGACCTGGTGTTGTCTTCTATCACGGCGGTGGAACTGTCCTGGGGAGCTTAAGTAAGAGTCTTACCTTGGATTTTTGAAGGACCATGGGTGGGACCTTGCTGGAGAAGCTTGAAAAAAATGATTATCTTTCTGGGCTTAAAGTTCACTATTACTTCAGGGAATGCCAGGCAGTCAGTGGGCCCCAAATCATTCTGAGAGTAGATATGCAATCAATGACTCTTTCTAAAAATAGAATATATATGAGGCATGATCAACATATATAATGAATGTTTAAAGTTTTAAAAATTTATTACAGTAAAAGACACATTGCCATCAACCCCTCTCAAGTTACTCCCCTTCACTTTAAACACACTTATACCCTTGTTCTTGCCGATTGAAGTATTTTGGGAGAATTTTGAGGCAGTTAATATCAGTGTGTATTACTGTAATAATTTTTAAAAATCTAAACATTTACTCTATTATTCAATTACTGTGTGTGCATGTGCACGTGTGTGTGTGTGTGTGTGTGCATGTGTGTGTGTGCACATGTGTGTTCCAGGAATCCCTGCCAGCACCCAAATCCATACCTGCTCAAATCTTTTATATAAAATGGCATGTTTTCTTACAATCTATGTATAACTTCCCATATAGTTCAAATCACCTGCAACTTCCATCTAATACCTAATATAATGCAAATGCTATGTAAATAGTTATTATTCTACATTGTTTAGGGAATCATGATGCCCTGAAAAAATAACCCATATGTGTTCACTACAGACACATTTGTTTTAGGAGGGGACATTTCTGATCCACAGTTGGTTGAATCTGCAGATGTGGAATCCCCAATACCACAATACCCAATTGTATATATTTATTGAGTTAAAAATATTTACTCAGGTAAAAATATATTTATCGAGGTGAAACTCATATGGCGTAAGAATAACTATTTTAAAATACCATGCAGTGGCATTTAGTATATGTTGTGTAAATGTCACCTGTATTTACTTAGAAATAGGGGTATTTTAAATAAAAATAAATAAAATGCATTATTCATTTTCCCATCAGGTATACTTGAGACAAATTCTGGAACAGACAAACAGAAACACCAAAGATTGAGAAAAACTGATAAGAAGGAAAATTCAAAATACACATGATTTTATCTTAATTTTCTTCCCTGTGAATCAGAAGCAGGGGGACACCTTTGGTTTCAGCAGTGCTTTTAATGTGTGGAATCTGACTCCTTTATGATAGGTAGCCTTTGAGAATAAAGGATTTAATTTTGGTTTCATCTGTATGCCAAGTGACAGTGATAGGCAATATTTATTAATATTTACATGTCAGGCATTTTAGACAAAGCCCGTATGTATATTATATTAAGCTCCAATTCCCTGTGAGGTATATTATTATTATCCTCATTTTACATATGAAGAAACCAAGTCTCAGAGATGTTCAGAAACTTGCAGGACACTATTGTAGATATCAAACTTTCAAAATAAAAAAAAGGAAGCAAAGTTGGATTTTGCACTCTGATTTGTGTGAATCCCAAGCTTACATGCTAAACCACTGTGCTCTATGGCCAAATAGCCTCTTCCATGTTTTTAATGACTTTCAGGAGGGATCAGGGTGTGGACATTATGGAGAAAGTTGTTCACAAGGGCCAGAGCAGAAGTAATGAGTAGAGAGGATGTTTATCTATACCTAGAAGCAAGTCTGTTGAACCCAGGCAGAACCAACCCACAGAGCTGGTCTGCTGATGAGTGTGATGAACCTTTTTTTTGTTCCAGAAACTCATCATGACTTCTGCTCACATTTGTGCAAGAACAGTGACTCAGTGGTTCTGGCAGTTAAGTGAGTATACGGGGAGGGCCCACGCCAGGGGTCCAGCAGTTCTGATTTCCGTTGATGGAGTGGGAATATTGAATGGATTGAAGAAAGACCAGGAGGAATGACTAGGTAGTGAGAAGTGAAGACAAGAAGGGAGGAGAGAAGAAGAGTGGAAAGCTCTGGGAATTCTTCTATGCCTGTGGACTTTGGGTTTGTGCGAGTGGAGGTATCTGCAGTTTGGTCTTTGGGAGCCAGGTGGAAATTGGTCTTCTTTACGCAGATTTGGTATGGAGGTTTCCCACATGAGCACTTGGAGGTGGAAAACCTCTTCGCTGATCAGAACAGCCCTGTGGATTCTAGACATGTGCACCTCCCTTTACTGAATGGCAGTGACACCCACACCATCACCAAGACATCTCAAGCATTGTCACACTCATCTCCAACTACCTATAAGGAGATCTCCCTTGGTGGAGAGCTATTCAAGGGCACAAGAAAAAGATTTGAAAACCAAAAAAACCCTCCAACCTGTCTCCTAGCTGATTTCTAAGAGTTACCCACCCAACCTAGACCTCTATGAGGCCTTGGTGAACACTGGGCAGGGGTGACCTGAGCTGGTCCCTCCCAGGCCTACTGCCTGGTGCCTGATACATCAGCATCTAGGGCAATTCCACTTAGTAGAGTTTCATAGTAGACTTCCAAATGCACACACAGTAAAGAAATATCAGGTGTCCGTGTGTCCTCCTTGGTGGAGTACAGTAAGTTTCCCAGCTTTCTTGAGGCAAAGCTAGTAGAGGAGAATAAAAAAATTAAGATGTATAGATGGGCAGAATAGAGACAGGCAGAGAGAGAGAGAGGAAGAGAGACAGAGAGAGAGAGAGAGAGAGTCAGTCAGAGAGAAAAGGAGGAGGAAAGAAAGAGACAGACAGAGACAGAGAATTATGACCAGCATTTAAAAATGATGAAATTTCTTAGAAAATCTAGCTTTGTGTGGAATCTCTTGAGCAATGAAGTCTAGCAATGCCATGTTTATATCCCTCACAAACAGCCTTGGTTTAGAGTGGGCATACCTGATTTGGAGGAGTCCCGTATGTGATCTGCTGGCCTCTGGTGGGAAAATAAGTCTACAAAGCCCCCCATGAAGCCTGTGTGCATGGTAGGATGAATCAGAGTCAAAACCCAAGAAAGCCTGGAGCTGCTCATAAGAATCACAAGGCAGGAAGCAGGGACAGGTGTGAGTTGGGGAAGTAACATTAGGTAGGCTCAGGAAGATGAGGCTGGTGTTGGGGATGGGTAAGCTGTTGCCCAACAGCTGGATGACAGGGCTCTTGTAAAAGTGACTTGTCCCCTGTAGGGCACTGAGACTGTAAGAATGGGAGCTGCCACTTTGTAAGCCTGTATGTTAAATAATGAGGACTTTGTCTTTATCATTTCATTTAAGCCTCACATCTACCTCCATCTGCTCAGATTTCAACATGGAACGTTAACCGAATGAATTTGGGTTAACAGATGCTAGATGCAGATATTTTTGGCCTCACTGGGGTGATGAGCACAAACTATGTGCCTTGATTCCTTTTCAGATACCGCAAGTCTCCCAAGTATAAGTTTCCAGTGATGACAAACGACTGCATAGCAGCCACCATCCACTTCCTGAAGTCCTTAGATGCACATGGAGTGGATCCAGCTCGGGTTGTTCTCTGTGGTGACAGTGTGGGAGGGGGTGTGGCAACGTTAATTTGTCAAATATTTGTCAACCGTCCAGATCTCCCCAAGATTCGTGCTCATATTCTGATCTACGCTATGCTGCAAGCCCTACACTTCCAGTCCCCTTCCTACCAGCAGAACAGGAACATCCCACTGCTCACATGGAATTTTGTTTTCTACTGTTGGTGTCATCACATGGATATCAGCCCTTCCTGGAAAAGTGCAGTAGAGAGAGGTGCCCATTTGCCTCCAGAAATCTGGGAGAAGTACAGAAAATGGTTGGGTGCAGAGAACGTTCCAGAGAGGTTTAAGAAGAGAGGGTATCAATCCAGGCCCCTTGAGCCCCTGAATGAGAACACTTACCTGGAGGCAAAGATGGTTTTGCACTGGACATGCTCACCCCTGATCACAGGAGATGACATAGTGTCTCAGATCCCAGAAGCTTGCATTGTAAGCTGTGAATATGATCTTCTCCTCGACGATTCACTCCTGTACAAGAAGAGACTGGAAGACCTGAAGGTGCCAGTGACTTGGCACCACATAGAGAATGGTTTTCATGGAGTGCTTACCACCATTGAAAAAGGTTTCTTTCACTTCCCCTGCTCCGTGAGAATTCTGGATTTGGTTGTCAATTTTATCAAGGGATTATGACCCTCTTTACTTCCCAAGGAAGCTCTACTATCATGTGAGATAGATGCTTTCTGAGTCATTTTTCTGATGCTTTCTGAGTGACACTGAGTGGAGCTAGGAAGGGATAGAGGTGGTTTTCTCCATCCTAGTCTGGATTCTAGAATCATACAATGCATGTTCTTTCTGCTGCCTGGAGCAAAACAGAAGAGAAAGATTTGGAGGGTAGGTGGGGCTCTCTCTGTCCATGTGCTGGAAAATTTGAGTTGACCATCTTCAGTGGCCATTTGTGAGAGTGAAATCTGCATACAAAGGTTGCTCAGAGCCTCAGCTAGAGTTCAGTCTGTCAAGGCTGATCCAGGCTGAGTGAAACAGGCACATCTAGTTAGCAGGACCTTGGAGAAGCTCAGGCCCATCACGTACAATCTCATGGGCCTTTTCCACTGTGGCTCAGAAGGTGGCACTTTGGTGTTCTAGCATACTGGGTAATGGCAGAGGTAGAGAATCCCCCTTTGGGTACAGAGCGATGCTTCCTGCTGTTGCCCAGACTCTGAGTGAAGAGAGCTGACTGCCTGGTCTAGAAGAGAGCTAAGATAGGGTGGATAGATTTTTCCACAGTGACTGCTCACTTGCAGCAGATGAAGACAGGGCTGTCTGATTGTGGCAGCTCTGGAGCTCCTGAAGTTCAAAGTTGAGTTTCTAACCAAGGACCCAAAATAACACTACGGGAGTTACGGAAGAGGAGCTGGGCACAAAGCTGAGTACTGAGTCAGAGTCCCATGAAGGTTGAGTCCAACCAAAGTCAACCATGTTCATAGTGGGAATTTATGAGAGGACTAAAGAAAATGTATCAATGGGAACTCTGTATTTTAAGGCATAGACCCAATTCATATTGCTCAAATCACACAGAAACATGTATTGATTTATGTAGTAATGACTTCCAGGGATAAATCAGGCATAGCTTGAACTAGGAACTCAAACATTGCCATTAGATACTCTCTCTTTGTCTGTTCTCCTGTGCTGATTTCACCCCCACCTCCCTATATGGTGGCCCTGTACAGTTTCATGCTTGCATTTTCCCAGAGTCAAGTTTGTTTTTATAGACGTGCCTCATTCTCAGGAGATCCAGCAAAAAGTTCATTGGAATTTATGGGCTCAATTTGTTTTCTTTTTTGTTTGATTGTTTTTGTTTTTGCAGTACCAGGGATGGAACTCTGGACCTTGTACTTTCAAAGCAGGTGCAGTGCCACTGAGCTAAATCCCCGGCCCCTCAATTGGTTTTCTTACTGATGTATCTGGTTGTCAGAGCCAAGGATTGTAATGCTCTGATGGGGCAGGCCCAAGTCCCATGGTACCCTCTGAGTGGAAAATAGGGTCAACCTCTGCTGGCACTTGTGTCACTGGGAAGCCAAGTTGTAACTTTGCGAGGAACAGGTGACATTTGCTCTTCAGCTCTTTGTGCCTTTAATGAAAGGTTTCAGATGAGACCTGTGCAGTCATATAAACATAGAATTGATTGCAAAGTGACAGATTTTTAGAGCTATAGAAAGAGGATGCATCATCAAGTGCAAAGGTGGGCAAGGGCCAAGATGACAGTGGCAACCAAGTAAGTTTCCAGCAAGTACAGGATTAGATAGGTCTTTAAGGAATATCATTTCCTTCCTGTGAGGTCACTGTTCTTTTACAATGAAACTGGGGCCATTTTGATGAACTTCAGAAAGAAGTTCCCTTTTACTTCCTTCCTTACAGTGGAAAATTTCTTTTAGTTTGTTTTGAGATTATAAGATTGATTGTACGATTGATTGTTTTTCTAAACATTCACCATGGTATGGACTTTGTACGATCCATAGACTTCAGGGGCATGCTCTGAGAAGGTTACATTATTTGGCACTAAAGTTTGAAACTATAAGCTTGTTTGGATTTTATCTATAGCTAATGATTAATAAAACAAAGGAAAAAACATCACATTTCCTTTGCTCTTAATGTAGCTGTCTCAGTCCTCATGCTAAAGTCTAACTTGCTGTTAACACTAGGACTGAAGGTGGAGGAGGGAGTGAATACTTCCCTAATAGAAAGGTGAATGGATGTTGGGTGAACATTGATGGTTACTCCACTGAAGAAGCTAAATTGAAGCCTGAGTCAAAGTACTTGGAGGAGGCAAGAGATGTCAGGGTCACTGAGCAAGTTGACCACCAGCCCCTTAAGAGTAAAAATTTCTTTGAAAAAGATGACTGGCCTCCCACAGTGGACCTGACTGGTCTTCTTGGGGCTCTATTCTTATTTGTTCAGCAGACTCCACAGGCCCACATCCAAGTCTGCTCCACAAAGGAATATTTGTGTTCCCTTAACTTGCTTTCACTTGAACATTTGTACTGAAATATGGGGCAGAAAGGAATCACACTGGGTGGCTTCTTGATCTGTTCACAGCTGACTTTCAGGAGGCTTGGTTGGAGAAATGGGATTACCTAGTGAAAACACATATTGTGAGGACGACTCAGCCATTGGAGAGCATTGGAATCTGAGGAGCATGGTCTCCAGGGTAGGCTCTGCTCTTGGATGTTGCTGGACGTAGGCAAAGGAACATGAACTGACCTTCTTGGCAGGTGGGTGGTTAGATCTTCTACAGGGACGTGGTGAGGAGTTGGCAGGCCACTGGAGGCCCATGCCCAATGGAGAAGAATGCCTTCCGCTGGAGGCCCGCGCCCAGTGGAGAAGAAGGGCTTCCGCTGGATGAAGGGCTTCCTCTGGAGGTCCGTGCCCAGTGGATAAGAATGGCTTCCACTGGAGGCCTGTGCCCAGTGCAAATGAAGGGCTTCCACCTTCCACCTTATGGGGCTGGGAGCACCTTAGGGCAGGGGCTCATTTCCATGGCTCTTTCCTTCTGCAGATGGTGGGAGAGACAAAGCTGCTTACATCTGTGGCTGGTTGGGTCCATTTCAAGACCAGATTCTGCACTCCTTGCTTTAACCAGTTCATCACCATCTTTTCTTGTAACCCGCTCATGAGGATGCAGAATAGGAATGAGAAAGGGAACAAATGTTTAAAGAGATCCAACTCCCTGAAATGGGCTGTTTCAGTTTACCACCTCTTGTGTGCCTCCCATGAATCCTAACAAAAGGGTATTCTTATACTCACTTTATAGACGAGGAAACTGAGGCTTTGAAAGATTAATAACTCTCATATTCTGACTCTTTCTGGTCAAGTTCAAAGCCAGTGGACTAAGGACTTTGCTCAAATGTACACTGTTGTCCAGAGCTGTGGATCACAATCCCAGCCTGCCTGACAAGAATAATTTCTGTTGTGCTCTATGGCCTGTTAGGACAGAATTGCAGCTCTTTTCTTCTCCTTCACACAGGATTAAAGTGAACAACACCACCAAGCTGGAATATCTGATGTAAGTCATCTTCTGTCTACGTAATAGTCAGCTACTATCTGAGCTGAGTCACATTTTTTCCCCATTAGGTTTATTGGTACATTTTAGGTATGCATAGTGATCACATTGGTCATTGGCAATTTGTACCTGTACATGATGCATCTTGGGTCTTTTTTCCTCATCACCCTTCCCTCCCTTCCACCCCTCTATCCCTTCCCCTATTTACAAAAAACTTTGTTTCCATTTTTCCCTTCTTTTCTCATTTTAAAAGGTCAAATTATTTTGTTCTCTGGTTTCCTTTACTTCCTTGACTATAGTGTTTTATAGTCCTGGACATTTTTAGAAGCAGTCAGTGTAGGCCCCTCCTCGAACTTTCCCCTCAGATGCCCAGCAGGGGAGAGCAGCATCTACATGCCTTTAGGACCAGACACTGAGATCAAAATGCTTTATTTGGGCAGCTGATAATTAAGGACAAGGACATAGGGCAAAGTTGAAATATTATCAAAGTTGTCTCTCCTTTCCTTTCAGTGCCTATTTCAGACATGCCTTATCCCCCCCAGGACCACCCTGCCTTCCTGTCCCCATGTCTTGTCCGCCCCACCCTCCTCACTCTGCTCCAGAGTGAATACCTGCCTCCCCCTCTTATCCCTGGGCTGTATTTAGGGAGGACAATATAAAACAAAACATGGCAAAAAGAAGACAAAGAAATCAAGACTTCCAGTGGGCTGGGGATTTAGCTCTATGGTGTCACCGCCTGCCTCGCAAGTTCAAGGTCCCTAGTTCGATCCCCAGTACCAAAAAACAAAACAAAACAAACAAACAAACAAACAAACAAAAAAACCCAGCTAGAAATCAAGACTTCTAAAGTTGTACTTAACTGCAGCTTCAAGATACAAAAGTTACTCAAGCCTTTTTTGCTTCTGGGACACTCATTCAAAAAGTTCCTAGTGGTTTTAAAGACACAGTAAGCCTATGACTCAGGCTCTGGATCTGACCTTTTCACCTATAAACTGCACTTCCTCCACCCTCAAAGACATAGCAGTATTGATGGGCAGCATATATCAACTTCCAACACAGCTCAATGATTTGCATTCTGACATAACTTGTTGGATAGGAAACCTGACAGACAGTAGGAACACACATCTTAGGTCACCCATCTTCAAGACCCCTGAGATCCTATATCTATACCCAGCTCTCAGCTCATAAAGTGCCTTATTTTTCTCTGAGCACCTGCACTTCATTCTTAGTTTGTCCTAAAGTCTCTTTGTAATAAACCTTTCACATGCATCTTACTGATGTCTTAAAAATTCTTCTTCTGTGATGAGAGTCAGTGAACCTGCAAAAGTATGAGATTAGGTCTTTATTTCAGCCTTGGTGACATTCAGACTCAGCCCACTGACATTTCCTCTTGGTTAGCCAGCCAGTGGCAAGAATTAAAAAGAGACATTGATAGGAGGACTTTGGTAAGTTCAGCCAAAAGGCTTTTCATCATTGTGTCTTTCTTCTTCCCCATTTATCCCAACAGCTTGCCCTTCAAAGCATAGTTTATCTTTTTCGCTTTCCTTTTCTCTCTTCTGGTCTGCCAACTTCTGCAGCATGAGGCTTTTTGGTTGTTTTTTTTCCTTTCCAGGTATTAGAGACTTGTAAATCTTTAGAAAATGATTGTTTGTACATAAAAACACCAAAGACAAGAGGTACTTACTTCCTCTAACTAGAAATGGGAAGAGGTGTTAGGAGGCACTCTGTAGGCTATACAGTGGACTCACGAGCTATTACTTCAGGTAAATATTACACCTTGTCTCTGGGTTAGGTGGGACTCTGAAAATCTTGCTTGCCCAGGAAATCATAAAATAAGGATGAGGTCCCCATCCAGTCTCTTGTGCAAAGTTTCTCAAGTAACCAACATGGGAAACCCCTGTGACACAATGGAGAGAACCAGGCTCCAGGTCATGTGGAGAAAGCAATCTTTAGAAGCACACACACTTGCAGGTCCTAAACACTTTAGCTGAGAGAGGTCCTCTAAACTGCTCTTCTGTTCTCTTTTTCTCTCACAAAACCGAAGAGCATGAGCTCAGGCTACCTGATGCCACAGCTCCTCTTTTTGAGTGGCTGGGAACTCGTCCTAAGCTATGAAGATTCAAGTGGTCATTCAGGAGATAACTGATATTATCCACAGGACCTGATGAAGTCTGTGGAGGAGCCTACTGGTTTACTTTTTTCCCTCCCCTCTTCCACGAAAGCTCCAATCTCCTTCTTGTCCCTTCTTTCCCACTCAGGCTTTAATTTGTCAGAAAACCCAGGTTGGGGGTGGCCTCTGCATTTTCCCAGGTGGTAGGAGGCCCATGGGCCTGCGGGAAGGGCATCACTTCTCAGCTGTCTGCCATAAACTTCTGGGTCCTAGGGCCACCTGTTGAGCCACATTTATAGGTATTTCTTCCTGGGCCCTCTCAGGTCATTTTTCTGATGCTAGTTTGTTTCCTTCCTCTCTCTTATTTGGTTATGATATTCTTAATGTTAACTTTTAGCCTCAACTTTATCTCCCTGTCTAAATTGATAAGTGGTATATAATTGCTAAGTGACATCTCCAGGTTTTTAAAAAATCCTCTATGAGTTCTTTGTATGTGTTGCAGGTCCATAAATATAAGGTCTTTCAGATCTTTGGAGTAAATTTTTGAGTAAAACCCAGCTTTGGTATACAACTCCTTTTTCTGCTTCCCACTCTGTTAATACGTATTGGAATAGTTATGTGCCAAAAAAAGTGTGGTTATTCTGCA